TCAGGCACTATCGGGATCTCCGTACCACCCCTAATAGTCCCAACCCAAACCATGGGTCTAAATTCCAATGAAGAAACAAGCCCACTGGCTGTAACAAACTAAACCCACACAAGGTGTGAACATCAACAGTAGCTTCCTGCCTGTGTAGCAAGGGGTAGCTTCCCCTTCCCCTGGGGGAGAGGCATTCCTCTCTAAGCCATCACCGTCTTAGTGGCAGGCCCCATGGCAACTCAGAAGTCAGCCCAGCATCTTCCTGTAGTCTTCCTAACCAGGATCTCTTCTTCCTGTAGCTTGCAGGTCCAGATTGCCTGACTACTCAGGTCCTAGACTTTTATACTGCCTAAGGCCTGCCCCTTCCAGTCAGGTGGTGCTTCAGCCCTGCAGGGATTTCTCGTTGGGCCCTGACAGCTGGTTGCCATGGCTGGTTATGACCAGTTCAGGCAGCCCCTTGTTGCCCAAGCCAGGCTCTGCCCTATTGCAGAGCAGCTAGCTCTGCAATAGGCAGTCATAGCTGTTTATCCTTACCTGTCTTTTCCCTTCCAGCCAACTCACAACAGGCAGAGTTCTCCCGCTTAGCTGCAAGTGCACCCTTCACTCTTATGGGCAGCCCCTGCCTAGACAGCAGTGTTTCTTTGATGTCTTTCCTCTTGTGGCTAGCCCCTTTTCAGCTGTCTGGGCTCCATCTGCTGCCATTTTTCTCTTTAAAGTAACAGGAGCCTCAGGCTCCCTGTTACATCACCTTGACCTAAAGAAGGAAGTGCATTTGAAAATTTGTCTAAGTCTATCCCAACCATGCCATTGGTCTTATAAAATATATCACCCCATAGAAGACTGCCTGTCACGTATTTCCTAGGCCATTGGAGCTACAACATCACTGCAACACTGAAATCCACATTTTTAAGTCTCACGCTTTTGATTGCTATGGATCTCTTTTTCCCGAGAACGAAAGATTTGAACGGAGCTATTTGGACAATATTGTGTATGACATGGCAGCCTGGGATACTGTAAAGAAGATTTAAAATAAACTTTAATATTATATTTTATAAACTTAAATTGAAGTTAATAGAATTACCCTAAGGAGTCAGACCAGTGAAAAATAGAAAGTCATTCATAAGGAAAGGATGACAGTCAAAATCACTGGTACCAGAAAATATTATGTACAAAATTTCTGGTCATATTTATTAGTAATGTTATGCTGTTGATCTTTTCAAATGTCTGGGATTTTGTTTAATAGGTACATGCACAGGCTAGAGAACACCTTGTTTTTCTTTCAGATTTGCTCTAAATCACATTGTAATTACAACAATGCTAAGAATTTAAGAAAATCTTTCCAACATAAGTGAATTGGTCTTGAGTTTGATGAGTCATGAATTGAATTAAATAGCTGTTCTCTGTATCTTTCTAATGCTTTTACATTAGGGGTAGAAGTCACTTTAATTAAGTTGCCTGTAGTTTTAATCAGGCATTTATTTAAATAAATGAATCAGCGACAATACAGAAGGGGAATATGAATTCCATTATTCAGCTATGCCTTTTTTTTTGCTGTTGCCACGGAGAAGTATACAAATATTTGTACTGCAAACTAATTTTATTTTGCGCATAGGTGAGATGGAAATGCAGCTAGAAATTGAAAATAACAGTTGTAGGTGGCTGATATCATACAAAACATATTTTGAAATGCATTCAGGCAAAGAGCAACTGCAAGGTTTGAGCATTCTTCTGCATTAAAGAAACCTGGCATCCCCAACATCACTCAGTAGAATCTGAATGAAAGTTTCTGTTGTGCTTGCTGTAGACAAATGCAGTTTCCCCTTCCAGTTTTTGTGATGGTACATGCCTATGGAGAGAGAGAGAGAGAGAGATGGGGGGAGTGTGTGTGTCTGTGTGTGTGTGCATGCGTGCGCGCTCATCTGCCCTTTTACCATTCTAGCTGTGTTATTAAAGTCGAACATTATTTAACAGAAAGGCAGCTTAAACTTCAGAACACAAACATTTTTTAAACAGCCAACATGTGAATGATTTGGAGACTCCCTAGTTAGGTAATAGGCAGTAATTTTGTAAGTGTTCTTTTCTCATGTTTACACGGAGTTCTTCTTATTCTCTGTCTTTGAATTGTCTAGAATGAAGTCATGTTAAACTCAAGGCTATGAACTCCAGGATCTCAAATAGCTGCTTAGTATATCCAGCCTCTCCCTTCCTCCCCACCTTATCCTCCCTTATGATCACAGCTTGTTCTCCTTGCTTGGACTATATCTTTCAATCATCTTTCTCCTCAGAGAATAACTAGCTATTTCTTACTTATTTCAGTGTGTGTTTAAGGAATTAATTCCCTCTTTTCATTGCTCAGCATATTTGGATGAATTCTAGCCTGCCAAGTATTGAGACACCTCTATCTGATAATATCAGGCAGTGTGCAAACTATTCCTCGGGCTCAAATTCATCCAGTTCCCTGCCTCTGCTTATTCTGGAATGATCATACAGTCTCTTTAACAAGAAGCTGCACAAATGGTTCCAGTTTCTCTTTCACACTGAGTCCTCTTTCTAGTAACACCCAAAGATAACAGAGAGAAAACCTTCACAGTAGGCTTGGCGATAACACATTTCACCACCGCAGCCTTCTTTCCAGATTTTGTTTATGTCAGGGAGTAAATTCATCCAATTTATCAGCAGATAATTTAGAAAAGCAAAAGAACTGACTAGCAGTGAAGTCTAACTCATTTGGAAGGGATGTGGGAGTCCCTATGACTGTATAATGCATTGAGCAGTAGGCTTTCAGAAGCATGTTAAGTAGCAGTGCAACCAGGACAGCCCCCTGTGGAACCCTACCAAAACTTCCTTCTGATATCAATCCATCTATAATTGCACTTTGTTTGAGCCGATTTTCTATTCACCTTGTAGTAATTTTATCTAACCAACATTTCTGTAGTTTTCATATGAGACAGTCTAGGAAGCTTTTGAAAGCCTCACATAAGTCCATACATGCTATGTCAGCTGCTTTCCCTTTATCTACCCAACTACTTACTTTACTAAAAAAGGAAATCAGATTGCTTTTTGTTAACATAATTTGTTTTGATCAAATCCATGTTGGCTGCTAGTGTCGAATCTCCCCTCCTCCAAATATTTACAACTTGACGTCTTAATAAATTTCTCAAGTAACTTCACAGGTATTGAAGTCAGGCTGATCAATCTCTGTTTCCTCCTTTTTTGCCATTTTTTTTAAAGATGGGGGCACTATATTTGTTGTTTTCCAGTTGTTTAGAACCTCACTTCTCCCATAAGTTTGTAATTATTACTGCCGGGGGATTCCCTTCTACCAGTTCCTTCAGCACCCTGAAATGAAGTTAATTCAAACTAAGCAAAAACTCTATGAAGTTCTCTTCATGTTTATGGCACATTCACAGTAATGAATTACTTAATGAGGAATAACCAAGTATCAGGATACTTCTGAGATTTTAAGTATACATCAGTAGTATGTGTGGCACACAGCATAGTTTTAATTGCTTTTACAGAAATCATGATATTAAATATATGCAGCTATTATTAGTAGAGACACAACAGATTAGAGATCTGCTATGCGAAAATTTTGGTGTAGCGACTGACAGCCTTTTTGCTTTGTTTCTCTAGCAAGATGGCTTTATTGTCAATCAAAAACAGCCCTAAAATGACTTCCTAAAAAGATGCATTGTAACAACCTCTGATATTTAAAAATTGTAGTTTTATAGATCTTTGTATCTGTGATTTGCCAGTACACCTATGAAGCAACATTATAGGAGAGAAAAAATGAATCATTCTTTAATACTTGCTCAATATTTCAGTGTATTTAGAAATTGGAGTTAGGTGTTAGAATTATATCTAACTCCTTCTGTAGTTGTTTTAAAAGGAGAATGGGTTATTAAAATAATGTGAGGCACTTTTCCAGTGTTTGTAAATTGTCATCACCTTAATCTTCCCCATGCTACATTTGTAAGGTTCAGTCAGTGGCAGATCTGGGGCGGAGCACAGTTGTGCGGCCTCCCGCCAATTCCTGCTCCACCCAAACCGCCTGGGAGGGGCAGTGGTATTTCTATTCAGGTGGGTGGGGGGAGTCAATTGACTTCATGACTCATTGTAATCTACCTGGTTCCTGCTAATCTCTCTCCACTTCACAGGTGTTAACAACCCTCTTTCCTGTTTAATAATCTTGATGCTCCACTTCGCAAACTATTCTTTCTTCTACAGTTTCGCTGTTTGTTAGCCACTCCTGGTAATGTCTCTTTTATTTCACAGCCCTGCAGACTGTTTTTAGCTGTACCTAAAGGCTTAACTCAGATGCAATAATACTAACTTAGGTGTAGAAATGACTGTCACTGAAGTATTGGAGACACTGTCAAATCACTCAATAGAGTTGTTTTATGAAGCTGAATAAGAGCTGTACATTTAAGTATAATGACTACAGAACTAATGAAACAGTATATCTTGACAATTTTTTGTCAAGTTTGTTTTTTAAACTCTCTATATAATATAGCAAATTAGTCCACATTCCAATAAAGTTTATCTTTGTTGTTGTTTTGAGGCCCTTACCGTATTAATGCTTCTAGATTCTGTTTAACCGGAGAAAAAAGAATTATGCTGTATGTGGTGATGTGCCACACCACACTTTTCAAAATCCTAGATTTGCCCATGGGCTCAGTTATTCTATTTGAAGGGTATGTTCATAGAACTATACGTGTTATTTATCACAAATGTAATTAGCAAACTGACTGTTAGTTCCTAAGTTTTCTAGTGAGAAAAGCAACAAAGCAGGTAAAACCATGCCTTCCTGTGTTTTGCTGTAAAATACATACCTGCTGTAAGCAGTGAAGTGTTAGTTAATTTAAAATTCTTTCTTATAGTTTAAACATTTTATCATCTTCAGAGTGATACTCTTACTCAGTTTTGCATTTAGGTTCTGATGCTTTGTTGGCTTTGATAAACAGTGACGCAACACTCTTATTTATTACACTTTTTTTTAACCCTTACAGCAAATAAAACTTGCAGCTGAGTCACTGAAGGACGAAACACATGAAGGAAAGAAAAGGATTTAAGAATTAACATGTGGATAGATGCACTTCTACGTTTGTATGATGACCTGATCTAGAAACTCATGGTATTTGCACTCCACAACATATTACTCAGTGGATAATGTCAATTATTTGTACTCAGGCATCACCACTAAACACTTAAAACTATGAAAAATCATTTTCCTCCTTTCCTTTCCTCTTTGCTTTTTTTCCAGAATGTCAACAGATGTCTAGTGACACAGGATATAGATCATCACTCCAGCTTATGTTAGGTCTCGTTGCAATGCCTTAATCATTTGTGCAGTATGAAATAGATTTTTAGAGTAAGCATCCTGGACTCTAGTCTTAACTCTGATCTTGAATTACAACTCTTTAAAAAAAATAGACACAATATTACTAGTACTAGTAGTAATTCTAATACTAGTATTTAATTCGAAGTGTACTGTTCCTTATGCTTGTTATCCCATTTGTCCTTGTAGTGAAATAGTTAATCGACCCTTGTATCTTTTCAAAGACAACGTATATATTATTCACGGCATTTCTAGGAAATGAATCTAAATTTTATTATATAATGTGATGTATCAATATTTTCCACAGGTCCATTCGCAAAGTTATTTGGAAGTGAGTGGTATAAAATATATTATGTTATAATATGCTAATTTTATAAATGTGTTCCAATTAAATTATTTTCAGAAGCTGGGTAAAAAACATTAGGTGGGATTTCTGATCAGTAGTTTATTATTAAGATTAAATGGTGGTTGTATTGTATTTAATTCAGCATTAACATGGAATACCATTTTTCTTGCTTGTGAAACTATGCTGTACTAATGGGTCCTCTTGTTAACTGAAATAATAGTCATAGAACAATTAAAATTGAGACTGTAGTTGTATGTCTAATGCTTTTACACATATACTAAAGTAGTTGACTGTTTCTTGCTCATCATGCAAATGTTTTCTTAATCTTCAAGTACACCAGAGGTGATGAACACCGTGATTTAGGGGAGCAACTCTTCAGGAAGGCAGCCCAACGGAGGACAAGGACCAATGAGCATAAGTTAATAGAGGTCAAATTCAGGCTAGATATAAGAAATAACTTTTTCTCTGTAAGGGTCACCAGAATCTGGAACATACTCCTGGCAGAGGTGGTGCAATCACCCTCCTTGGAGGTGTTCAAGATGAAGCTGGATAGGCACCTTGTTGAGCTCATCTGAGCCCAGTAACTTCCAGCCCATGGCCTGGGACCAGACTTGATGATCTTACAGGAACCTTCTGGTTCTATGATTCTAAGTAAGTGACAAGTTCAAAATGCATACTGATTGGTTATGGCACATCACACCAGTTTATTATCTGCTGCTAAACTTACCTAGGTGTGGAAGCTCTTGAATAAGCCCTACAATCCCATTTGCATGGATCTGTACACTGATTTATACCGACCTACACACTCTTCAGAAATCTGTCATGAAAACTTGACACCTCATTTCATAGCAAAATGTGACAGAGCCTAATGGTCAGAGCCACTCCCCCAGAATAATACAGTTAAACAAAAGTATTGCCTTCCCAGTGGAGTTTAAAGTTCCAGTTTTTAGATTTGTAAAGCTCTAAATGATCTGGAGACATCCTGTCACAGTTATGATTGGGGAAGTTCTCAAATTAGGATTCCCTTGGTTTGAGAGAGTTTTTTGGCAGAACAATCTGTATGAGGGACCCTCAACTTCGGAATCATTCCCCACTTGAGCTTGAAGTAGCCCAAAGTTGCTGAAGTTTTGGACCTGTCCAAGGGCAGATTTTAAGAATTGACATTTGAGGACAGCTGAAGATCCTAAACGGTGGATCTTTTTTGGGAATATGACATTCTTGTCAAATGTGTCCTTGTGATCTCATGATTTTTTAGAGAGGCTTGTTGTAGATTCGTATTGGGTTTTAGAGTCCAAGGATTGTACTTTCATGACAAAGGTGCCCAGACCCTGGCATAGGCATCTTACAGTTATTTAAAAACAAAATAAAGATGATATCTTATGTAGCAGGGGAAAGACCTATGATAAATTATCAATAATCAATACTCCAGAGCTCATGTTTCTAAGAGAACTGAACCAGATCTTCTGGTATTGGAGACAGAGGGAAGAGGCTGTGAGGTACTGAGTGCCTTGCAAAATTACTACAGCTCCAAAGTTAGTGTTATGATCCAAAATCCATGGTACACAATTTCTTCACAAGAAACCCAATGTTTCAAGAGTGTTAATGTATTCTTTTGACTTGAAATGGGCTTCTTTCCCATCTTCCGTATGCCCACACAGACACAAACTTGCTTCCACTAGGTTTGCATTATTAAAAACTACGTAGGGAGTCGGAGAGGGCATTGAACTTGATGAGTGAGCTGGGTTGCCTGCAGAATGCTGCAGCAGGTGTCATAATGAGCTGCTGAAACTAGCCACAAGGGCCCATCTTCTAGAAACACAAGGGGGAAGGAAGCTCTGAGCATGGGCAGAAAGCATAGCAAAAATATACATGGTAAGTAGCCACAGAAGAATTTTAAGCCGGTGACCATTACTCACTTGTCCTTCTAGTCCTTAAAATCCTCTGGCTTTTCATAGTACAGCTGAGAAAGATGTAGCTCAGGAGTTTAAACATGTTGCAAACTAGTAGACTTAATGTGAATTAATGTTAATGTGAATCCCTGCTTGTGGGCAAATCTCAGCACTTCTAACTTTACTTTCCATATCTGTAAGTGGAGATAAAGCTCATGAATTCTCAACCTGAGAGTCCGTAACCTTGACCAGTGGCATTGCAGTGTACCTAAATAGTAGAGAGGACTTGAGTGAGGGAATGCCTGGCAAAGATTTAGAACCAGTGACCTATCTTCCATTATTGTGAGTTGTATTGGAGTATAGCAGAAGGTCCCCTAGACAGGCATCAAAGCTGCTCTCCGCACAATACATTACTCAGTGCAATACAGTGTAGGAAGGGGGTTCTGTAGTAAAGAACTTAGTTTACCCCTATAAACTGCTAAGTTTTGTAGTTAAACTGTAAGTGTCTCCCTTTTTTGTCACAGAACTCTTGCTGTCCCTTCCCTGCCTCTTGCTAGTGTGGGAGATTCCTACCCTGGAGCTCTGGGACTTTATCTCTGTGTCTCATATGCATCATCTATTCATCCCCTGGTGGAAAAAAAAGTCTTTCTACCTCTGCACCTTACTGTTTTCCACCTGTTGTTTTTATTTTTTCTATCAGTCACCCTTACCTAATGTTATAGAGGGTTTGAGGAATTTTTTTGTGTGGAACTTGCTAACCAAGTAGAGTCGAGTTGGTAAGTCAACACGTTGATACCCAGGTTGGAGAACAAAATGCCTAATCTGTGACTGGAGCATCAATGAACTGCATGAAAATAACAGGTGAGGAGGGAGTACTGTAAAGCAATTAAGAAAGAAGGGACAAAGAAATGTAGCCAAATGGTAAAGTTTTCTTTGATTTACTAGTTTTATTCAGTTGTGGAACCAAACTGAGGCACTTAAGGGACAGCCAATTCATGCTCAAGGCTGTTGTTAAAAAAAAAAAAAAAAAAAAAAAGGGAAACACTGCTTTAAAGAACCTATATTTCCCCCTTCTGCCTGAAACAGCGTGAACAGATTGTTAAAATGGATGAAGGGCAAGTTCATTCTGTGCCACATACAACCATTAATGGGTGCATCTACACGTGTGCTTTACTGCAGAATAGACTAATTACCTCCGCAGTAAAGCATCAAGGTCTACATGTGTGCCAGTATTAGGCCACAGTAAATTAATTCTGCCATAAGATACTATCAGGGACAGTACTATAGTATGGCAAAGTAATTTACTGTGCAGAAACATGCATGGACACTGAACATATGTGTAGATTGCATCTGGTCAGCCCAGCCACCTGTCCCTTCCCCACCAAATTGCTGCTGTTCTGGGAGCACAAGTAAATACTGCGCCCAGGAACAGTGTACTCCAGATCAAACAGCTCTAGAGTTCCGTGCATTTGTTGCATGTGTAGATGTACCCATGCGCATGTCTGAATGTGCATTAATGTGCTGTAATTACAGCGCATCGAGTGTAGTACTTGTAGTAACTGGTACTAAATGCACTGTAATCAGTGCTACTGTGCAGTAGCGCTGGCACACATCTTTTATGTGATGCTAATGTGCAGTAGACTAATTCTAGTGTGTATTAGCATGGCTTTCGCCATGACATAATAATGCGCAGTAGAATTAGTCCACTGCGCTTTTAGCATCTCATGTAGATGCGCCCACTGAGCGCTAAATTACTCCTTGGTGTAACTCAGTGTGAAGAGTTGCAGTATGTATCTTGGTATCACTCAAGGGATCACAAATCTACATTTGAAATTACCTGATTTCTGCTTCAAGGTTAAAATGACTAGTGGAGTTGACAAATGATGACATGTGTCAATTGTGGTACATGAGCCCAAGAGTTGAAATATTCCATTCAGGCTCCATGCTTTTATACTTTGTTCTAGATTAAATCTCTAGGACCAGCTGGTCTCCTCAACATGCAGGTGATTATCTTAGCACTTGAGTTTGGGGCACAGCTGAGTTGCTTTTCAGTTGGACATTGTATATACAACCAAACTGTTTGTGTTTAAATACTTGCGCCAATTTACCTAAAGGTGTGATTTTAAACTGGACTGTCTGAGTCCAGTTGAACACAAAGTTGAATTAGTTTGAGCCAAGTTTGTAAGCTGGTGCTTCTTAACATGAACGAGTTATAAGTAGCTAGCTTTTACATCCTGGACTACAATATACAGTCTGAAGTGTATGCTCTAAGGAAATATTCACAATATGGAAACATCCGTTTCAGGTACTAACCGTTTCAACCAAAAGATGCTGCTTCATGTTAGAGTACGCGTTAAAGTTTGGGTACTGGTATAAGAGCAGAAGAAGATTTTATTTCACCCCCACAATATTAAATGAATTTTGCAATTAGTAAATGACATAAAGTTGACAGGGAAATCATTGCTTATACGTCAGTCAAGATGTCACTTTTATTAACTCCATTTTCCATTTCTGTCACACATCATGAATGTTTATACAATGAAGAAAGCCAAACAATGCTGACAGCAACCAACAGGATCAGCTGATATTCCTGTACCCTCTTAACACACACACACACAGATGCTTTCTTGGTGAGAAATTCTTTTAATTCTGTTCCTTTCATTAATTCTGCTTAATTTTACTGCTACTCTTAAAACTCTGTGTCAAGATTGTCACATCTTAAATACAGATAAAGTTGCTAGAGGTACATTATTATATATACACACATACAGAAAAATACAAGACTAATTGTTTTTCCCACAATATTTAATTTATACTCTACTGTAACTAGATGCAACTTTTAAAGACACGTTAAGGGGTACAAGAAACTTTACTTGCTCTAAATAGTTTGGTCCAATATTATCTTAATGTAGTGGTTATTCTCGCCCTTCCTTTTACATGACAATGTAATACAACATACACCACATGCACAATCATTCACCTATGAACAAATGGATAAAGGACAACACTCAAACTAACATTTGTACACCCAGAGGTTCAACCAACCATACACAACTAATAAGGCTATAATACAGCTATGCAGCATAAATGTTCAACACTGCTGTTCTAAAGTGAGCACCATATATACATTTGTATATAAAAACATTGGAAACAAAATACACCTGGGGTTAGTTAAAAGGTGCCATTCCAAGGCTGTACATAATATCAGGAAAGAGTATTTACAATACTTGGAAAAAAGCTGCAACAAATAGTTTATTGCCAATGCCCTTTATATACTTTTATCCTACTTTAATATAGATGTTACGCTCACTCTCTGTGAACCACACATCTTATTTCTGGCCCTTTATAAGATCCCTGCTCAAAAATTTCAAGCAAATATGTTCTATGGCTTCACCCACACATCTATTCTTGTAGCTTTCATTTTATAAATACCACGCTGGCTGACTGAACTGCAACTGTATCTTAAAAGTTAGACGTGTAAAAGATTTTTATCATTTGCTTTGTTTAGGAAGCAGAATGAAAAAATCCCCAACTAGGCTCGTCAGTAAGACTATCTGGTGCAATTTCACCTATCAGCAAAATAATTCAAAGAGCTGTTGTGAACTACAGAAATTGTGACCAAATGTAACGCAGTTCTTTGGTGCTCTACTCTCTCTATGGTATACAAGAAATGCATCGTATTTGACCACTCTGCAAATGTTACAAGATGCTAAACAGTGTAAACTCCTCTCAGACATTGTTTCCGGCTAGGGTGCTGCTACATAATACCACCAATTCTTACTAGCATTGCTTTGAAGATCCAGTGCACAGCATGAAAAAATAAAACATTCATGTCCTTCCCACATTAGGAATCTGCAATATATTTTATTCTAGATAATAAAATTCCACAAAAGTTAATCTGGTCAAAAGTATCCTTCCGTACAGAAATATACTAAAGCATGAATTTGCCATTAGTTCTGTGACAATGGAGAAACAAACAGAAAAGCTAATTACTGTTAAGCATATTTTCATACATGCCATATTTTAATTTTAGACTTGATGTTCAAAGAAATTAACAATTACCAGCTGGGAGGTAACAATATTTTAAGTCCTGACAAAAGTTTAAATAAAATGCTAATAATGAGAAAAATTAAGGAGATTAGATTATTATAGGAACTGATTTAAATTTGCATCCAATTATCCATGGATTTTTCCATTCCTTATTTCATTTTGATGCATGTAAGGGTCAGACTTAAGAAATGCCAACAATTGTCATGTTACACTAATAATGGAAGTAATTTATACAAAGTTTTTCATTTTAGTTAGAATGCAAAAACTCAGATGTAGACCTTATAATTTACCTTTGTTTCTAGTAAAAAAGATTGTCTGTTTGTAATATTAACGTATTTCTACGGGAAAAGCTGCCTTACAAATCTAGTTGCTTTAAAAAAAAAAAAAATCTTATAGCAAAACAGGATTTTTTTTCAGTTTGATTTTGAGCCACAACTTTATCCATATTATCGCTTAAGACAAATAGGTGTGGGTTTAAAATCATAGTTTAAGATCACTAATTTTCAGTGCATCTTTGCTTTGTACAAGCCTTGGAACATCTGAAAGCTCCCTGAAGAGTTTTCAGCATCAAAACGTTATTGCTTTGGTTCTGTTTCAGACACATAGAAGTATGCCACATATCACATATTTTAGATATCACAGAAGGTCAGAACAAGAATTAACATTTCACAAGCAAACAAAAGCTCTCGCTTGCTCTCTCTCTCTCTAGTCTAAGTGCAGAACATGAACTTCTAAGTGCTCCATTTACATTAGGATCTAGATATACATTTTAATTTAATCCAGATGTTCCATAGTAAAATAAAAGTGTAAAAATTACACAATAAAATATTCTATTCTGTTGGGAAAGAAAAATGTATTGGCTAGCAGCATGCACAAAGACCATGCATTGTCTTACTATCAAGCAAACACAAAATTAAAATGTAATAAATAACTGCTCAAAGCCCACTTTAAAATATTAAGACAACAAAAGGGGTTCAGTGAAATAAGGTGTTCACAGCTCTGAACAGGAAGAATGGTGATGTCAAGTAGATTGAGCTATTAAGTCAGGCCACCGTCAAATGACATGACAACAACTTGTTTGACCGGAGGTACACAGCAGTCCCTCCTTGGGGTTCCGCTGAATATTCACAGATATTGTCTTTTCACAGAGAGGTAGTTGTAACACGTTATTTTTCAAGTTCCTGTTCTTTATCCGTTCCAATTCATTTTCTGTGTCTGACATCTGGTCAGAGAAGAATTTTATGCTGCCCAATGCTGTAGCCTGATTTGCACTCCCAGTGGAACTGATGCACATTTTCCACGTTGATTTCTCCTGCACTTTTACACTGGAAAATGCCAGATTGTTTTGAGGATCAATAATGTATTTAGTGCTGCCGTGAATCTGTGAACCTAAGCAAAGGCTCATCAATTTTAGGCTTTCAACCAGTTCCCCTGCACTCCTAGTAGACAACTGCATTGAGTTTCCAGATCCAGCACACCGACGGGTGGAACCTGAAGTATTATTGGTACTACCACCGGAGCTACTTGAGGGACTTCCCCCACCTTTGTTATTATCACTAGGGCTTGTTTTGTCTACCCCTCCATTTCCATTGCTTGGTTTGCTCTGTCCACCACCATCTCCTTGGCTGCCAGGTGGCCCTTCACTACTATCCCGTCTATGCCAGGAGTAAGTAAACCCACTATCTTTATCTAGCCGTCGCCTACTTTCTGAGTCATCATCACTGGTTTCTGAGCTACTGCAACTAGATCCCCGACCCTGGCTTTTCCTTCTGTGGTAGCGTTTATGCACTGTACTAGGTGAAGCAATATTCATTTTTAACCTGCTAAGCTTTGGGGGCAAGTTCTCATCCATGTCAAATTCATCATCTGATTCCCCTTCCTCAAAGATCTGGTTGAGGACTGGTGCACTCTTCCTGGAAGTGAGACGATTTGTAACTGAAGGCTTGCGGCGCAGAACAACTTGAGTTGAAAGAGACATGGGTTTCTTATCTTCTTCATCTTCCTCTTCATCCTCTTCTACTCTAAACAAGCACTTCCGGCCACTTGCAGCAGGTTTCAAGCTCACTGAAGGAACCACTGAAAGTGCTGGCCCAGCTAATTCAGGGATGTCCTCTTTCTTTGCTGAATCACCAAGTGCCTTGCTTCTGTGACCGTTAAGAATGTTTTCAGCACTGCGAGCTGGAGACTGAGCAGTTGCATGGGAGAGAGGAGAAGCTGTAAGATCATCTTCCAGGTCCTGGGGTACATCAATTTTTGTGGGCCATGATTGCCTTGGTAAGAAATTGTAAAAGATGAAGGGGAGAGAGAGAGAGAAAGAGACAAATTAGATTTCATACAGGGGGTTAGCTGTGTTAGTCTGAAGCTAAGCAAAAGGTAGGGCAGGGTAAAGCCTTAGAGACTACCTGGTTCAGAAGGGCATGAACTTTCATATGCAAGAACCTACTTCCTGAGTACATCTGATATACTGTTGAAGTAAAGTACACTGTTGCCTGCAAGAACTCATGTCCCTCTGAACCAGTTGGCCTCCGAGGTGCCAGCCTGCCCTACACCTTTTGTCAAATTCGATTTTAGTGATAACTTAAGAATACAGTATAAAATCTTTACAGGAAGAGATCAGAAAGGCCACAGAAATTATGCCACTTCACAAGCCAGTACATTTTGTAAACAGTAATTTAGAGAAACAACTTAAGGAAAATGAAAAAAAGAGTAATTTACAAGTCATGTTGGTTGCTGCCAACTTAGATCACAAATTCCAATGCTGCTCTCAGAAACAAATGAATAGTCTTATATGACTCGAAGAAAGTGCTTTTTAAAAAAAATCAGATGTTTGCAGGAGGTCTAGAAGAACAGGGGCAGGACAAAGAGGCCTTGTTCCATGACCCATCCAATATCAATCAAAGGACAGTGGTATTGTAGACAGTATGAAGTTTTTATTCTTCTTCCCCGTTTTCAATTATTAATATAAAAGCCATCAATTCAATAGCTTTGTATTCAAGTCACGGTGTTAGTTTTACAGTCTTAAGTAAAAAAAAAAAATCCTGACATTTTCGTAACATGCCTCCTATGAACAGCTAATCTAAGTTTTCCTTAACAAAATCTGTTTAATTAAAATGTACGTGAATCCAGATTCAGCTATTTTCATCTGACAATTTTGACTGTATACCACAGGTGATGTGTTATCACTGAGCCAATATCTTTTCTCATCATGTCACTATTAAAGGGCAGGCATCAAAGTGTTTAAAATCACAATAATGAAAGCTATTTTATCTATAACAGAAATTTCTAATGTACAGTTGTATTAAGCATGATCTTCAAAGTAAAGTGGTCATGAAAGAGGTGATGCTTGAGACTAACTCAGTCTTACAACTAGTTAGTGCTGTTTTATCTTCAGCATCTAGCAATTCTATAATTAAGCAAATAACTTTCAGTAATTGATGTTTTAGTTTAAATCCTAAAAATATACTGTAAATTTTTTTGAATGTTCCAAAAACTGAACTGTTGTGCTACAAATAGAAGAATGAAACTGCCACCATCTCAATCATTTGTATTTTTTTAAAAGGCCTCAGGAAAATGCAACCAAACATTTACATCTAATAGACTTGCTTAAGAGTGATGTCTCTTGACGGCTTTAGTCTATGAAGCAACCACCAGACTTAAGCAACTAAGCAAAAAATATGCTCTAGGTACTCAAATATTAAAAGATACCATGTTTCAAAGTTACTGGCTTTACCAACTACAGCTATTTTATCTCGTAACCACATTCTCCTATGCTGTATGAAAAAGTAACGGTCATGGCAAGAAAAACACAACCCTAAGTGCAGAACCTTTCCATTTAGGCACAGATAGTACTATATGGGATACTCTCAGGCAGATACTTGGGTAATGCCATACTAGTGGTTAGGGAATATGCATGCCTTTTTAGCACAAATTTGAACAGAATAGAATAGAATGGTAGGGTACTCTTCCTTCTCCAGCCCAAGATACTGCTCACAGTTATGCACACATTCAAAATACAATATATTGTACTTTCTGGACTCAGTTCCCCTTGGTGGGAGAAGGGGGGCTCAAAACAGGCTCTGCTGGGATGTAAGAGAAGGAGGGAGGGAGGCTCCAATACCCCACTAGACTTCTTAAACTCAGCTTCCAGATTCAGCTATTTGACCAGGGCTCAAATGGTCTATTGTAGAGCTGCCCAACTTCTAAGCCCGCAAGGGCCACACCATGGAAATCGTGGGTCACTGAGCTATGCACTGCACAACTGCTTCCTGTCCCCACCTCCACCACACAGGCACCCACTCTTCCCACCACCACATAGGGCACCCTCACCACCACCGCTGCACTGTGCAGGGGTGATCCCCCCCCACCCCATGATTTGTCCTCAGCTCCCCATGCAGCATACCATACTGCCCCATCTCCTAGGGCAGAGACAGGAAGTGGCAGCTGGAGGAAGGAGGGAGAACCCAGAAGCCTCCGCTGTGTTGCAGCTGGAGCCATGGGGACATAGGAGCCAGGCAGGAGCTTGGGGCCCACAAATTAATCCCTTATGGGCTTCATGTGGCCCATGGGACATAAGCTGCCCAGCCTTGGTTTATCGACTTGGCTCTTCCTTGATGCGAGTGAATAAAGATACCACTTTTTCTGCCTGATGCTATCTCCCAAACATGCTCACTGTGGGGGAAAAAAGAACTATGCACAGACGTTCAGTGAGACAAGTGAGAATAGACCAATTTTGCAGTTAAAATTAGTTCCCAAACAAAAGCAATGACATATCTGTCTTCTTCCCTACAAATTTAGGTAATCCATTTGGATTGCAGACAATATCAACACAACAAGTAAAACTTTGTGAAAATAACTTGAAACTCTGAAGGGAAAGTATTCATAAATTTATGGACATCTACTTATTCATAGGGAGCAAAGTAATATTAGCAGGACAGCACCAAGCAACCACTCCAAGCAGTTCTACCAATGCATCTCAACCTTGATATGCAATACCATTATTATTCCAATTCCTGATGTCTGTTAAGCAGACTACCAGTTATACTGCAGTGAGAAAAGTGATATGGACAAACAATGGAGTTCAACTCCATAACTGCAAAGTCAGGGCTACAAGGACTATTACTATGACAGGTTCGGTTTCCAGTTCACTGCACTTCATTTGTCTGATCGACAAGGTTTCCTCCTAGACAAACTGGTACTCTGCTTCATAAGTCCCAGTGTGAAAACCACAGTACTACAATGAGATAAATGATTTCTCTAGCAGAAAGATGGAAACCATTTAGATTAAAACAAACTTGTAGCTAGTACCATGTAACCATGCAATAAAGCAACTTTCCTGGAGAAAAGTCCATTAAGTAAACAACCACTAAATACACTGTTGTGAAATCAAAAGCAAGTTAGACAGACACTTGGCTGGGATGGTTTAGTCATGGATGATCCTGTCAAGCAAGGGGCTGAACTGGATGACCTTGTGAGGTCCCTTCCAGCCCTACTTTCCTATGCTCCTGTAATTTAACTTAAGTTTTCAAATGGTCTTTGGAAGAAACACAGAACTCTGTGACGACAAAGGTGTCGGAGCTTTTGTCAAATCCAAAATTGCAAAATTTTAGAAAGGTATAAATGAAAAACTGACACATTGCTACTCAGACATCCAAAAAGCAGCTCTACTAATAAAGCGCTACCATAAGCAGCAGGCATATTCCTCCAGTCATGGGGCCTGACCCTCTAAATGCATGCTGTTTAACAACATTCTTAGTCTGAGCTGAGTCTCAGACTATTTGCTTTCAGTCGCACCAGTTGGTTTGGATAAAGCCTGGAAATACAGAAGCAGGGCATTATAGCCCACATCATCCTTTCTAATGAATGTCTATATTAACCAGTTAAGGGTGACAAAAAGGAAACCTTCATAAGGAAACCCTTGTTGCAGGTAAGAAATTATTCGATTTCATCTTTGTACAGAAAAGCACTGAACTTCTCAGGAGTATTTTCATCTTCCTCTGCTAAAACCCAGAGATGAATTAACAATAGTGCGAGTAGGCAATAGTTCTCAAGGAATCAGCAGGAGCACCCGATTCTCATTCGTCAGAGGGGAGATTAACTACCGTCATTCTGAATGGTATGCTAGGGGAGGGAGAGGATCAAAGAGATTTCAGAAACGCAACTATTAATGGAAAATGGCAAGGCCTCCACAAGAATTCCTAAAATGATATTTAAGACAGAGCAATAACTGAAAGATTTTTTCCCCAACTTTAGGTTTCCCACCTCAGAAAAACTAACAACTGCTGGTCACTGCTTAAAGCTCACTCAAGCATTCGACAACAAGCAAAGTTAAAGAGTTTCAGCATATGTCTAAACTCTAAAGCATAAAGATGCAGGGAATGTTAGTCACAGTGCTGCACTGCCCCCAAACTGGTGTACCACTTCCAGTTAAAGAACTCATGCAGTGTATCTCCATATAGCACTGCCACGTACTACAAAGACAGACCTTTAGGGCATGTCTACGCTGCCTTTCTGCCTAGCCAAGAAGTATGGCCCACCCTCACTCACATTCTGTACAAAATCCCTGGGGAAAAAAACAGTGTAGCTGCTTTACAGTGGCCCTGAGTATGTGCCAGTAAACACACCTGAGAGAGTGAGAGCGAGCCTGAGAAAGTCTCTGGGTGTGTACTCAGCACTGCTCTCAAGCAGCCACGCTGATTCAGCCCATACAGCACAGGGTGCCCCAGGCTCAGCATGAAAGCAACACAGTTGAGCCCTATGTGTCCTCTGAAAAAAAAAAGCAAACCTTTAATCAAAACTGGTCCTTCTCCAGAACCCCTAGGGAGAGGCTGATCTGCCCCTGAAATCTTTAAATAGTTCAGAAATACAGAGTTAGGTTGTTTCCAATAAAATCCTCTCAAATTCCTTGAATGTCTGTAGCAAATGGCAGACGGCGTAAATTTTCATCAATACTAACCTCACGACAAAAAGCACCAACAGAATCCTCGTTATCTTTACCACATAAGATGGCATTCCCACAAATTTCAGTAGGCTTTGCTGATGACTATTTATTACATTTTGATTTGGATGATATAAAGACCCAAGCTGTGAACTGCTTACTGCCATCTGGTTTTATTACTAAAAACTGTAGCTATAAAGCATATCTCACCTATTAACACCACCTCCTGTACCCCTTGTAAAAACTGTGTCCTTTATAAAGGCCTGATCTTGAGATATTTGAGCTACCCTGGATTTCGGGATGCCCAAACACTTCAGGATCGTGCCAACAAGGCAGGGCTGACCCTGAATCCTGATAAGAAAAATCAATGTTCAGCTCATTCTAGGTGACAAATGCCCAGCTGTGCACTTAGGGGATTACACCATAAGGATAGTTTTTAAAGGGGAAATTCATGAAGTATAAAGAGCACTAAGAGAAGAACATAAAACAGAATCATTTCTCTATCAGAAATGTCACAGACGTGAATTAATCATGAAGGACTTAAATTCATTGAATGTGACACCTCCTGTGGTACACACAAAAATTGTTGTAAATACAGCCTTCAAATTATCAATAGCTCACTCCTGGAAAATTCTGAGAAAACTTTTTTGGCAGATGATTTTTAACTAACTTCTAACATGGCCTTTATGGGTTGTGCTACATTTCTCCAGACCCTTAGAACTTGCAGTGAATGAGCATTGTGCTGTTTAACAAGCAGCATCTTAACAAAACAGCATCTTTCCAAACATTTTCACTAAATTTGCTAAATTACCCACTGTTTTAATTCTTACCTGAACTGAGCTTTGATGTTGCTAGGGCTTGCAGACCTGGTTTGAATTTCTTTCTCCTGTTTTTCTCTCAGAATCCTCTCAGCTAGTAAGAAGTAAGTTGCAGTGATGTGATTGTATTTGTTAGTTTCCAATGCCCTAAAAGGAAAAACCACCAGAAATGGAACACATCACGCACCGATGATTTGTTAAAACTGAACATTTAGCTGACACAAGTGTCTACATTTTGCACAGCAAGTAAAAGGCCCAGAAATAGAATTTTGTACTTCTGACATCCTGACAAAAGATTTTTTGGCCTATTAGAAGAGGGACAAACAAATATGGCAAGTTCAATAGATACATTAGGATACTTTGAGGAAAGCATCCAAAAGCTAAATAATTGCTCTTTATCGCGCATATTTAAGCAATAACATTAACTGAAGTAGAGTTTATGATCCAATAATGGCCTCTCCCACTGACAAATAAATACTCAGGCAAAGCAGCACATTTAATTTTGAAGTTGGGACAAAATTTCACTTTTTCTCAGTGTTAAAAGCATACTAAGTTTACAGTAAAATAAGCCTGTAAGGCTGCTAAAACATCCTAAACCACTGCATACTTTAAAACAGTTTTAGATACAGGATGTTTCAAGTGTCTGAATTATAAATTTGGGGGTTTTTTGAAAGCTAGAACATTCTTGACTCATTTAGATTTTGGAAATAAGATTTTAAATACACAGAATAAACCTGTTTACAGAAGTATACTGCAAAAAAGCAACCAGCTTCCCAGCAGCATGATTCAGTGGCAAGTTCTATTTGTTATAACAAAAATCAGACTATTTTAAATTAAAGGACTCAGATAACAATATAGTTAATGGGTTTTTAGTTGTAGCTGTGTTGGTCTAAAGACACAGGCAGGCAAGGTTCTTTGGTTAGATGTGAGATCTTTTATTAGACCGAGTAGTTGGAAAAAAGTTCTTAGCAAGCTTTCAGGCACAATAAGCCTTCTTCAGGCATAGGGAGTCTCTGCTGTTCTGAGACTACAAGGATAAAAGATATCACATCTACGCAAAGAACCTCGGCCTGCCCGTGCACATAGTTTTAATGATACTGTATAACAAGTGTTTGCAAAAATTACTTGGAAAAAAGCTGTATTTGCTATCCCAAAATAAATGCTCTGAATGAAAACAGCTTAAGGTGACAGGAAGGTGCCTCTGGGGCCATCAAATCCAGTCCCCTTGTGTTCACTGGTAACCATTTACCTGAAGATTCCCCCAAATCATGAAATCACTATTTTAAATCCTCACACACAATTGCAAGTTGTAGGGACACCCTACAATATACCACAGACCTCAAGGAAAAGCAGTAAAAGCCCTGCCAACGCCCTGCCACTACAATGGCAGAGAAGACGGATCCTTAGATGAGGGCCCAGGCCCCATTCTACAGGAGAGGGGCAACTTCTACCCCCCACCCCCGCACACACTCACTTTGCCATCTGACCCAGGAGAAAAACTGCTTGCTGATCTCAGATTTGTTTTTCAGTTGATGACCGTTACTGGCACAGCAGGACCTAACTAGGAAACTATGAGTTCTCTAAGTACTGAAAGGAGCACCATCATATCCTAGTCAAGACCTCCAGCTCTACTGTGGCCAATTCTTCAAAAGAAAGCAAGTCTCCTCCCCACTTCCCAAGTAACTCCCCAAAATTAGCAGAACTCGTAAAAGAAAAAAAAACCAAACAACCCCTTCCCGGTCCCCCAACCAGGAGAAGCCATGAAGGCATAGCATAAATGAAACTGGGGATCTGACATATGAAACAGGTCATAAAAATCACAAATCTTTCAAAATGTTCAAACGCGATACACAGATTGATTTTTTGTAATAAATCAATAATGTAAGGCTGTGACTACACTTGCCTTGTTCTATTAAAATAAATCACCCTTAAGCCCCGAGTGGACTTAAAATTTTTTACCTGTAAACTGAAGGGATTTGAAACGTAAGCACGGGGACTTTAAAAACAGAATCCCGCAATGCTAATCTTTATAGCATCATTTTTCAGCGAAGTACCATACTTAAATTTAATCTATCAGATTTAGTCAATGCCTTTTCAAGACATGATATAACTAAACTCTCTCACAGCATCAATGGTCCCTGTTTTGTCTCTAGTGTTGGACAGACAATTGCTATGGCTGCATTTGCAAACGAAATCATAACGTTAAATTTATCAACCAATAACTTACTCTACTATTGTATCTCGATCTGCTATATCACCAAGGACCATGCGTTGTATTATACTGTTGTGTTCTTCCTCAGATAAGTTTTTATATGAAACGAGAGGGATATTGTATTTTGTTGCAGGTGATGGATCAACTCCTTGGAGCCATGGATGATTTTCAATCTCTTCCAAAGATGCCCTTCGCTTTGGGTCTCTCTGCAACATCCGTGTAATTAGGCTGTGAACAGAAAATAAATCTATGAATGCAGTGTGCTAGCATGTGTGGAAAGCAGCCATCACAGCAGCACTAGGAAGGCACTGCTGTCCCCCTTACTCTCAGTTCACAGCAGCCCTTTTAGACTCCTTCCAGTAAGAATAATTTGAGTGTGACATAACTGGACAAAAGGTATTTTAAATAACAATGCCAAACTAAAATGAATAAATTGGCTTCAAAACTGCAACCAGCAATCTCTACAGTTTCCTTTTCATTTACTTGGGCTCTTGACTTCTGCCTTTCATTTTCTATAGGATGTAAAGCAATATTCACGGTAGGGTCCCAAACTGCTTTGCTGGTAGATGCTACTAATATTTTAAATGTTGTTTAATATTACTAATACATTTGCTATTCTCAACAAGAATATGGAATTGCAAAGAAAGCAGGACTGCTTTTAAGGTAGGTACCAGACACTAGGTTTCTTCAGGGCCAATAGGAGAGAGGACAGAGAGCTGTCCCCATCTGTGAAGAAAAAAATTGTTTGGGATCCTCCAATGACAAGTTTATCTGTTGGTTTCATGTTAAGTCAATGTTATGTCTCCAGCTTCTGGCAGGGAGAAATATCATTAAAGCTCACAAACTGCTATAGAAGGTACAGAGAAAGGATATTATCTAACTAGCACCTCTCTACTTGCCCATCATGTGAAATTTCAGTCTATGCCCTGGCAAATTACAGCATTCAGCCTTATTAGCTGCTCTGCACAGTGCCAGGATATGGAGATGGCTGTATAATGCTGAGGTTCTTGCTCAAACCTTACATGCTATCCTGCAGTGTAAAAAGTAAGGAAATAATGCAATTCTAAGGCATGGTTTTATTCTTGTACCAGCCTGCGGGGTAGCACAACTGCACATTATAAGCCAGTATGTACCTCAAGTAATTTTTTTTTTAATATGAGAACTAAGATATGATTAGAGATATGAACAAGAGGAGTGCCCCTACTGCCTGCACTGATTACTCCTAAAAACTGTAGATCTCATTAAAGGAGAATTATATACTGAATAATCATCCTACATCTTTCCTTTTTAAATTTTCAATTTAAAACAACGGCCGTAAGACGGACTGAAAAGCTCAGGTTCTGCTTTGAATTCTAGTGTTTGACACAAATGGAACCTTAACATCTTCTAGGCCCAAGGATATTCAAGGCAATGTCACAAAGAGATAATCTATTACTAATCAGGACTTCAGCTATACTTAGTGAAAGGTTCCAACTGAGAGGGACTCTAACGTAATAGAGATTGTATTAATCATACTACAGCTGAAAGCGTCATGCATCTATCTCCAACATATGGGAAGTATTGGAACACATCAAAATCACTAAAGGGCATCAGTGAACATCCCAGAACAGGCCTCTCAATATGAATCATAATTCCCTGGTGGCATATGGTATTTGCATAGAGAAATTGTCCTGAAGACCTAATATGTTGATTTCCGGCTGCAACGTGAGTAGGAAATAAGAAAAAGTCTGATGCAGTATTCCTGAGCGTGACATCTAGAGACAACATTTTTGAACAACCAGTTAGACCAGGGGCTCCCACCACTTGACGTCTGCTTCCCTCACTGCTCTGGCTATGGAAGTGCCAGGTTCTCTGGGCTACCTCTCCCTCTGCCCAGGGGGTAGGGTGGTGCAGTGTGGCGCAGCCCATAGTGATGGGGCTCAGGATAATGCCTGAGAGGTGCAATGTAGCAGGGAAGCTGGGGAGCTTAAGGTGAGGTGGGGAGCCCAGGCAGGCAGTGCCAGGTAGGGAGGCACTAGGGCACATAGTGCAGCAGGGGGTGGCATGTGGTGTGTGCCCCTGGGTGCCCATAGCTCCTCAATGGTGTGGCCCGCAAGACATGCAGCCCCCAGCTGCTTGCAGGTAGTACAGCCCTGACTTAGAACAATTCTGGTGTCGTGTTCCCACCCCTCCCCCCCACCAGTCATTCTTCTTATAGGAGTATTTTCAGACTACTCAGGCCACCACCTGAAGTTGCTTAGCAGTGTCTCAGACCTTTTATAGAGTGACATATCAAATACACGTACTTTTAAAATAGATACATATTTCCCTAATAAAGCAAAACAAAATTGCCTATAAACAAATACATGGAAGGTCTAAGGCTCAAAACATTTAAAAAGGAATAAATACAATGAACTTTGATTACAAAAGGTGAAAGATGCAAAGAAAATAAAGATATGGTAATAACTAGGTACCTCCCACCACTGATTGGCTGAGGGGCCCCAGTGGCCCCGTCGCTGATCAGCCAGGAGGCAAAAACCGAAGCACATTTAAAACCACAGTTTTTGCCTTCCTGCCAATCAGCAGCAAGAGGTGAGACCACCAGGGCCCTTCCACCAATCAGTGGTAGTGCAGGAGAGAGGGAGAGCAGTGAAAAAGGCAAGCTCAAACGAGCCACTGCATAGCACACTTCCACCACAATTTAGGTAGGTCCCTAGTAATAACTGTGCACAAGATGCTACTACTTAATAGATGGTGAGAAAAAAATTAGAGGAGGTCAACAATTAGAGAAAAGGTCTACATATTATATCTTATGAGGAGTCAAAGCATGTTTGTCCATCAATAGAATGGTATGGAATTTCAGCTTTGGGAGCTCTGAGAAATCAGTGATAAAAATAAAAGGTCAGTCCACCTAAAATAGCCAAGTTTGTTAGTAACATCCAACATGCCTATCAATGTGCCACCAAGTTACTTAAAACTTTACTTACTCTTTACATTCTTTGGACACATGTGATGGCACTGTGTATTTGCAGTCCATTATCATAGTCAGAGTTTCACTGTCATTTGCTTCTTGGAATGGTGGCTGTCCACATACCAACATGAAAAGGATGACCCCCAGGCTCCATATATCTGTAAATAGTAAAATATATTTTCAATTTATTGTCAAGAGCAGAGAAAATTACTGCCAAATTAAAAAGTGATTTTTTGTTTCTATCAAAGGTTCTAATAATTTTAAATCAAGGTTACGATGACACAATCTTTCTAGGCATTATCAGAAGGATATATAATTCCTTTGTAATATAATACAAATGTACTATGCATCTTTTATTGACAGGTTTATGGTTTTGGATAGAAGATCCAAAAGTAGCAACTTAAAGCTACACACAAAAAAATATTGGGATGCATAACAATCATAAATAGGCAGTCATTCTGACTTTCAGGCCTTACTACCTTTAATATTAATTTTCAAAGAAAGTTAATTGTTACATTGTTAAAATGTTACCCTACTCTTGATTATAATGTAAGTATCAGAAAGTTTCAAGATTTAGTTGTGCTAAGAAAGAAATTATTTGGAAGCAATTGCTTATCTAAAAAAAATGTCTGGTCTGTTCAAAAGTTCATTAGGCTAACACTGGACACACATCTATATGTATAAAACAAAGTGTCTGTCTGTCTGTCTGCCTGCCTGCCTGCCTGTATGTATGTTCATTTCTAAGTCAAGAATGGCTGGTCCTATCTACTCTAGACCTTCCAAAATTATTGAAAAACACCTGAGGAAAATTCTAGGCAGGTTATTTTTCACTTGACCCTTGTTGGAGCTTCCAGTGACTGGGATTACTTCGCTTCTCAGATCACAAACTGGTACCACTCCATTTTGGATGCAGTGAATTCAGTTCAACTGTCATTTCATAATAATGACGTGTCTGTCTATCTGCCTGTTCACTTATAACTTTAGAATGAATGGTCCTATCTACTCTAAGCCTTCCAAAAATTTCAGAATACTACCCAAAGAAAATTAAAGGCGAAATATTTTTCACTTGACCCTTTTTGGGGCTTCCAGTGACTATTTAAGGGAACAACGCTCTTCACACAGACAGTTATATGTGGCTTGCTCCAGAGGTGGTATGCGAAGAGGGTTGTCTATACTGTCGCCAATAGGAAACACCGCGAACACTGTTTACAAAGATGTTCTACAATAAAGATCATTCATTTGAAAGTCATTTGAAATGTTGCTCCACATTAAATATTTAATATGCTGTACTATGTTCTTTAAAAATAAACTATAATTTTTTTACCTAAATATATTGTACTAAGTTCTTGAAAAAGAAACAAATACTGCAATTACAAAAATATCAACCCAGGCAAAGAATGGATCCTTCCGCTAGTATTCTATCTGTCTCTGTACTTTCCGGAAGATTAGAATGGGACAGTCTCAATATTTGAATGTTTCTGTACAAGGTACTGTAACAATTTGAATTTTTAGAAATATGAGGAAGATGGAGAATTGGATTTTATTTTACTTAAAGTATTGCATATATTAATGCAATTCACCACTTATAATTGGTAAGCAAATTAAGGGTAACCATATTAAATAAAATGTAAAATTTTCTAAACTATTTAGAAACAATCAAACATTTAGCACAGTTAATATGTAGCGATTTCTAATGGATTCCACTCAATTATCACTGGTAGAAAAATGAAACATTAAAAATTAGTTGTTTCTAGATAAGTTGACAACAAAAGCTTGTAATTAATCATGACACTACACAATGCATTTATTTATTGTAGTAAACAATCTATATTGACAAGATTTTAAAAGCTGAAGCACAAAATGAAGCATGACTACATTTTCATGTGTTTATTTATATTCAGCAAAGAGAAAAGAATTGTTACAGATAACATAGAGAATGGATGGCAACAAATTATGCATACAGGAGAGTGACAACAATGCTATAAACCAGGGATCAGCAACCCCTGGCATGTGTGCCAGAGTATGGCACACAAGGCCATTTTCCTCAGCACACCACAGCCAGGCTGGGTTCTGGGCAGCTGCCACCAACCACAGAGCCCAGGCTGTTTGCAGAATGCAGGCCAGCTGCAGCTAGGAGGCTACAAACAGCTGCGCTGCACTCCACAGCCCCGGCACTGGCTCTGTGGCCGTGCACCCGGCTCTGGCACATGGCGAGGAAGGGATCCAAGGGCAGTGCAACCCTGAGTCCAGTGCAGCTGTTTGCAACCTGCCTGTCATCTGCTGCAGCTGCCCAGAGCCCCGGCTGGCTGTGGGAGGCAGCAAACTGCTGCACTAGGTTCCCTGACCTGGCTTTGTGGTGGCAGCAGTTGCACGTGCACTTTGGGATGGACAACAGGGGAGGGACCAGAGTTGTGCTGCCCCAAACCCCTTCCCAGCTGTGTGCCCAGAGGCATGCGTGAAACTGCCACCATGGAGTCAATACCAGGGCTGTGGAGCCTGGTGCAGTTGTTTGCAGCCTCCCTGCTGCCTGCCACAGCTGATTCAAGCTCTGGGCAGCCACAGCAGGCAGTGGGCAGGCTACAAAAAGTTGTGCCAGGCTCCATAGCCCTGGCACCAGCTCCATGGCAGCAGCAGATACACATGCCGTGCAGCGCACAGCGAGGAGGTGGCCGGAGCAGCACAACCCTGGCCCTTCCCCTGCCATGTGCCTAGCAGCACGCGTGCAGCCGCTGCCAGTAATGAGGATCAGGCCCCTCACAGCTCCCCTGCCTCTGGCACGCCAAGCCAAGGCATGGGTGGAGATTAGGGTGTTTTTGGCACTCCTGCCAAAAACACTGCCAACTCCTGCAATCAACCTAAAACTTCCCCCTGTGTTCCATTTGCTATTGTTCAGTATTTTATATCTACTTGAAGCTAGGGAACAATTATAGTTCTCTCTAATTATGCAAACCATACACATTTATCTATTTCTAAAATAAATAACTCATTTTGCTACTTACAAACTATTCTTTCTACAGCTCAGCTAAAAAATAAATCAGAGCAGTTTAGCCTAATTTTCTTTACTTTTCTAATTTATGATAAATGCATGCTATAAACCCAAGGAATCTTCTGATTTCTGCTACTGCTCATGCAGAGGGTCAATCCTGTAGGTATTGAGCACTCAAGCCCCAACTCATGAAAGCACATAAATTCAATGGAGCTACTCAACCCTTAAAATTAAGTATGTGCTTCGATATTTTGCTGGATTAGTGCCAGGATGCTAAGTATTTTGGAAGAAAAAAAATCCTGTAACAGCAGCCTCACTAAAGAGTTGTACAAGATGGAAAGAAAATTTCTAGGAAAGCTTTCCTTCTCTAAACCTAAACAAGTGGTTCTCTCTCGCCACAAAGTTCCAAAACAGTTTGAAAATATCAGCATGCATACTGTTGTTTCCAAAGCAAAACACTAATATTTCCATATATGAACAGACTATGTTCATTTAACCTGCTTCATTAGAAAAGTCCCATTATTTGGATGAAACTTCAGTGAACATGTGACAGACTTTTCTTTAATTACCCAACTTTACATAAACATCCTGGTTTAGTATATTATCTGCAATATTTATGCATTCTGGTATCTCAACTAGCAATTTTAGAAAGAACCAAACAGTGCATCTTTTTTCACACAGTAAAAAGTTGTGGTTGCTTTAAGTTGCAAACATTTTAATTCAAAGATTCCACATTGTGTTCATGACAGGACAGACAAGTGTTACTACTCTGTAATAATAAGGTAATATCATAGATTCATAGATGCTAGGGTTGGAAGGGACCTCAACAGATCATCAAGTCCGACCCCTGCCTAGGCAGGAGAGAGTGCTGGGGTCAGATGACCCCAGCCAGATGCCTATCCAGCCTTCTCTTAAAGACCCCCAAGGTAGGGAAGAGCACTACCTCCCTTGGAAGCCCATTTCAAATTTTGGCCACCCTTACCGTGAAGAAGCTTTTCCTGATATCTAGCCTAAATCTGCTCTCTGTCAGTTACCCCAAGAGGCGCCCTGGTGAACAGAGCATCTCTGATACCTTGCTGCATCCCCCTAATGAATTTGTAGATGGCCACAAGACCACCTCTCAGCTGTCTCTTGCGGAGGCTGAAGAGGTCATAGGGCTTGTCCTGTAAGCCCCTAACCAAACAAGTGTCTCTCTTCTGGACCCTCTCGTGTCTATCAACATCCTTCTTGAAGTACGGCGCCCAAAACTGGATGCAGTACTCCAACTGTAGTCTGACCAATGCCACATAGAGGGGAAGTATCACCTCCTTCGATCTATTTGTCATGCATCTGCTGATGCATGATAAAGCGCAGTTAGCTTTGCTGGTGAGTTCATCACGCTGATGACTCATGTTCATCTTGGAATCTACTATGACTCTGAGATCCCTTTCCGCTTCTGTGCTGCTGAGAGGGTCACTTCCCAGCCAGTATGTGTGCTGGATATTTTTGTGCCCTAGGTGCAGCACTATCGACTGACTGGTTACAAAATCTACATATAAAGGACATGTTTCTTTTGAGGAGACAAAAGATCAAAGAAATCCAGCTTAACACTAAAATGCTCTGGAACCAAGGATACATATCAGAGCAGGTATGATTTAACAATGTAAATAAACAGAGTTCGGTAACATTTATCACATGTAGGAATTTATACCAGATCTTGAAATGTTTTAGTTATGCTAAGGCAGGGGTGTCAAACTCATTTGACCCTATGGTATGGATCCAGAATGCAGAGCTTTTATGGGTCAGAAAAGGCACCTCAACAGCAAGCAAGCAGCAGTAGTAACCCCCTGGTGCCACCAACACAGTGGCTCTGGCATCTGTAGGGGTTAATGCTGCCACAGCTCACACCACAATGACAGAACTGCATCCCTGGTAGAGAATTCAACCTGAAAATTCAGCAGTTGGGTGAGCAGCTGCCCTTATGGCTGTTAGAGTCACGTGTCAGTGTGCCCAGCACCTAGCAAGTTAACGTGGCTGCACAACTGCTTTCTCCACAGGGATCTCAATCCAGAATTTCATGCTGTTAACTACTCTAGATGCTGAACATGCTGACACAGCAGCCAATTGTAGAGGTTAATGCTGCCATTGCTTGCCCCAACATCAAATTTTCATCCCTGTGGGTTGTATCCAGAA